TTACGTGTCGTAATCAGAGTCATGATTGACAGTCGTCTGTCATTCAATAATTCACACTTCGCCAGAAAAACAAAACGCCTTCATATGGGCCCTTTATTTTGAAATAAACATTGATAAGATGGGACGGGAAGTCAACAGGATGTTCAACTTCAGGAAGTTCCGGAGTCGGACCGCTGGCGCCTAATTCACGATCATTGCGTGCCAAAATTTCAATTCTGTCTGGCGCCTAATTGGGGTGTAAAATGCAACGTTTTCGTGACACTGGCGCCTAATTGAAGGTGGCGCTTAACTGAAGACAAATACGGTAGTAGGGACTGTATGCAACAATAACGGTTGACCATTAAACACTCAGTTGGATGCAGATTTGAAGAAGAAAAAACAAGTAAGGGGGGAGGAATATTTTGCTGTTTTTCTGTGATTGCCCCCACCCAGAGTACTTAATGATCCACCCATATTAGCAAATGTGCTTACATATAATTGTCTGTCAAGTTTTGGAGTATGCAATCTAAGCAGAACGTATATAGTATTGTCATATAATGCCGACCAATTAGGTTTTATTCCTCATTGGAATAAGTAATGAATAATGGAAAAGATTGTTCCTTTATTTTCTTTCAGGGTACGTAAACAAGTTGTAAATATCCCGTCCTTTGTTGTACGTTTGGACTCGCAGAAACACATTGACTTCTCCCTGAAATCGCCATATGGTGGTGGTCGTCCAGGACGTGTCAAGAGAAAGAACATGAGAAAGGCACAGAATGCTGGTGCAGTTGAAGAAGAGGAGGATGAAGATTAAGAAGCAATTTGTCATTCTTGCATTGCTATCTGTAACTGCGGACTTAATGCAAGATGTTTTAATGCATTACACCAATGAATAAATACAAATAACAGCAAATCTGATTGTTTTCTTTTTTTTTTTTTTACCTTTACCTAAGGCAGTGTCAATATGCAAGACTCTCCAAAGGTGGCATGTCCTGTCATAGTAGGGCAACAGTACCCCCAGAAAGTACAGGATGTGTGACCTTGAATGTCTTGCATAAAGTTATTGCAACTATCCCAAAGTGAGAAGTGCAATGAGATGTTGTACCCAGTAGATAGAAGCACTGTTTGCTTTTCCATATCCTGCCACTACACTACACTACATTTTATCAATGGCCTATGCAAATGGTGACAGGGATAACCCCCATATTTTGCTTCCCGGACTCCAATAATTGAAGAGGGACCCAGTTTTTCGGGCAAGCTGGGGTCCAATCTCTAATAAAGTTATCCAGGGTCAAATTTCAATTTCGTAAAATTTTGCAAGTCTGACTCGTCTTGCTAAGACGCAAGCGCAAACCCTGGGTGATAGTTAAATATAACCAGATTTTTCATGCAATTGTCCTTCAGTACATCATCTAAATGAAGTTGACGATTTGATATTGGCTGTAGTACGGTACATCTGTTTGGAATGGAGGTTGCTGAAATTTTACAGGATGCCATGAAAAGTAGAACTTTATTGATATGTTCGATCTTGTGGCAAAGATTACCGGTAATTTGATTTTGTGCAGTCAAAACCCAAATGAATAAAAAAAAATATTTGCATCACAATAAAAATTTTGGCCAATTTCGCTGGATTTTAAGTTCACAAACTTGGCAGGAAAATTATTTCTGTTCATGTGGAATTAATATATAGCAGATTTTGCTTAATAGTTTTTCTAAGATGCATCTTGCTTCATTCAGAAATTGCACTGAAGAAGGGCCTTTGCCTTAAACAAGTTGTACTGAATAATTACCAAGAACTACCATTACCTGCTACTGCATGCATTTATCGGCCCCAGTAGCTTTCTCAATTTACTAATTTACTGGAATCTAAGGATTTTGCTGCATTCATATAAAGGTTGTTTACCCTATTCATGGAAGGTACTAACGTTAGTACCTTCCATGCCCTACTCCTTTCATGTAAACTTTTGCAGCATTAGCTACTCTTTAAATTGTAATTCATTGCTGAATTGGAAATTTGCACAATGGTCTGTTGCATCGGAGTATTCCCCAAATCCTGTAGACTTGCGAGGTTTGATTGCACCTAAATTGCTGTTCTTGTACTGGGATGACATTAAAATGTGCCCAAAAAACTCTTTTGCCTGACACCATTAGGAAGTACTTGGACTCGACCCTTTGAATGTCAGTGTTTCGGAAAGTATAAATTTTCTGTCGAACTCTAGGTAAAACTGGTTTTATATCAACATTGGGCCATCCGAGTTTAGAAAAGTTGACATTAGCCCAGGAAGTGCCTAGTAATGTTATGTTTTCATGTGCAGTACCTGATGTGTAGCCTAATGGTTAGCATGTTTAGCCATCATGTGTTCGCTTCCCATGGCTGGCTGAACACGCATCACTGGAAAGAGGCTTGTGGTATTTGGGAGAGTGGAGGGGGACGTAAAGCTGTCTGTCTCTGTACTGTTAATATCAGTGTACGTGAAAGATTTTGTTCTTAACGCAAAGAGGAGAGATTTCTTCATTACAACTGACATATTCCTCGTTTCCATGTCTAATTGTATCTAATCTGTTGAACAGAAATGATGGTGTGAGTGGGTAATGTGCATTTTCAGTCTGATTAATACTGTCTAAAAATTTGTATTCTCAGCACAACAAAGGCTGAAGATATTCCATTCATTGTTATATATATTCATCAATTTTTCAAGTGGGCAGTTGCAGTTACTACATCACCTCACGATGTCTAGTAACCGTGGTAACCTGAAGGCTTGTCTCATTATGGGCATAATCAATGCAGAGCCTTTGAGCCAGCCAGTTTAATTTTAATGAAAGCTGATGATTGGTATAAGCAGATTGTTTTAAATATGTTTATAAAATAAGATACAGCTTTCTGCCTTTCACAGTAACAACCACAGCTTTATGCCCTTAACTGTAACTATTGGCAGATTAAATTACATTGGATTGTTTTCAAATGGTATCGTTGTGCACTGTGCTCATTGATTGGATGGTTGATAAAGATGAAGAGAATACTTTTGATGCACCAAGAGTAGACGGTGTTTTCATAGTGGTCCAGGTAGTAATGTTCTAAGGCAACAGCAGTCTAGTGTTTGAAGCATTTAGGATTGAATGCCCCCTCATTATCATGGCTGTTGGCAATATAAAACTGAGTACTACGCTTTGGTTTCACAACTCTGTACAAGAACCAGAAAATATTCATTATGATAACATTTTAATATCTCCCACCTTCAAATAGTTTATTTGTGGATGGATCCCTGTGATTCAAATTAAAAAATGAAAAAAAAAAGTTCTTAACCATGCCGCTTATTTTGTTGCATGAGGTTTATATAAAATATTATGTGAATAATAATAATCTTTGATTGACCCCATGTTATAGAAAAAACAAACAATATTTACAACGTCATCTTGGGGAAATAATGTGTCAGTGAAGAAGTGAAGGTTATGAATTACAAGTAAGTCAAGGTGACCTGACCTTTGTTATTTGACCCAACTGGTCTTACCCATAAGTCACCAAATCGTTGTGACGTGTGCAAATAAAATGGCGACCGCCAGGAGTAGTAAATGCGTGACATCACAACTTTCAGTTTTACTAATAATCACATGACGGTCATGTTTAGTGACGACTAAACAGTTTGTACGATTGCTATGTAATTCACTTCTTTCGACGAAAGGGACGATTTCAAGATGAATACGGGATTTGATATTGAAATTACCGAGTCAGAAGAGAGCGAACTATGCGACTGGCAGTTACCACTGGCTTTCATGAAGAAACGCCATACGGAGGAGATCGTGGGAAGTAGAACGGTGTCGCAAACATGGAGACTCAAAGAAAGGGTGAGAATCAAGAACGAAATGGAATTCTTTTTCTGATGTGTTATTACCACAAAATGTGTGTCTGTGTAAAGTTCAGATCGGTGGACAAGTTCACAGTTTATCGTTGACCTGAGAGTTTCCTCTGTTGGATTATCATGGCCGCTTATTTACTCTTAAAAACGCCGGTCATGATTTCAGGATTTTCCGTTCATAAGAAAGATCTGTTATTGTGAGATCAGTTTAGTGTGCAAATCTCAGTTATGTGTTAACCTAAACAAATCGAGAGTGGGAGTCTTTTTTTCTTTATTGTTATTCGATCACTGTTTGTTTTGATTTTGTGACCGAGATGTGAAACGGCCGGAAGCTCATTGCGTGGTCAAAGGAGGACATCTTGCTAATAACGAGAACAGTAACACATAGCATGACATGCTTCCGGTTAGGGGGTCGTTCCATGAAGATCCCCAAAATATTTCGAATGCTTTCATAATATTTTTTATTTTTAACTTATTTTCAAAAAAAGAAAAAAAATACATCTCCTAGAGATGTATCTCAACTTACTACCAGTCTGTTGTGGCACACATCCTGTAGACTTAATCTTCAATTCAAACCAAAAACAATAATCATTGATTATTTTGTTTGTTCAGTTGTCTGGGGTCCCAGTAAAGATTAAAGGCCCATGTTGTCTCTGTAATAAATCTTAACACCGGGGCTTAGAGACCTACAATATTTCATCCTGAAAAGTCCAAGCATTGAGGTTTGTTATTCACAAAAATGTTTGCTGCAGACAAACTAAATATCAACAGACAAATTTATAACTGTTGTGGCATTAAGGGTTTTCTAACATTTCTTAGGATTCCGATCAAATAACATTGCAAAGTAACATATTTTGGTTGAAATTGTCAATATTGTCTGTGTGTTCTATGGTTATTTTTAATATGATATTGTAATATCTATCTGTCTATTGTAATATGTGATGACAATTCATGATATACAAAAAGGGGTTGAGACTCGTACATAAACTTGAATAAAAATTATATTTTAATCTAAACTTAAATACAATAGTTCACCTCAGTGCTGTTAGTGATACCATGGATGTACTACATCCATGGTGATACTGACACATGTCATTTTTAAAGTTAGTTGTACAGCTCTTTCTTTAGCTCCATCTTGTTGCCTTACTTGCTTGATTGTTTTGTATTGGTATTCGATACAGTTTTGAATTACACAGAAGTTCCCACCTGCTGTTCTGGGTCAGGTACATGTTCACCTGGTATTGGAAATGTATGGTTAGCCTTGAACTTTTGAGACAGCTGTCTGCCAATCTTGACAGTGCATTTGGTAATGATATTATTGTTTCTATAACTCTGGGATTACACTAGTATATTTGAGAAGTCAGTCCTGTGTACAAGGTTAAAGAAAATAAAAATTAATTATATGGATTTTTATTCATACATGTGACATATAATAAAAATGAGGGTGTAATGGTATTTGTGAGGAAGTTATCTGTTGTCGACACTTAATATATCTTTTTTTTTTTCAAATTGCCATTGAAAATCTATTTGTTGAGCTCTACATATACATAACTTGTGAGTGTGACATAAAATTGGATTTTAACAAAATCCATTCACAGTCTATACAAAATTAAGATTTATGTTGATATCTCTTTGACCTCTGGTTTCAACAAAGACAGTGTTTGTTTTCAGTTTAATCTGAGGGCACTAAACCCTGACCTTGATCACTGCAGATGTTTTGCTTCAAATGGTGACATGATGATCTAAAAATAAATGTTGTAGATATGTAGCTATTTAACAGGAAGTAAAAACTGCCATGTGTCAGATGAGGATATCTACACTAGGGGTAGTTTTATGGTTTGATTATCAAGAAAAATACCATTTCTTTGGTAGTATTATATGACATTTTTTTAATCATTGAAGTTGCTAATTTTAATAACTGAATATTATCGTCCATAAAACTATCCTCAGATTGAAACTTTTGTTTAATTCCTTTGGCATTATTACAAAGAAGCAATTATGGCATAGTTAAATTTCTTTGATTTCAAAAGGGACAATTATTTGAAAAATATAATCTTAAAATATGGTATGGTACCAGTGTTTTATTTAGTCAAAAATTTGTGGAAATTTGACAGCGCCTTATCACACATTATGTCAACAAACAAATAAAATCTGCCAAGAATGGTTACTCTTTGATGGCTGTTGCTGACATTCTTGCAATTTGATTGGTACCGACCAAAAATCGTCTGGGGAAGTGAAAATGTACATCGTTCTGTCAGGCGTGTGTTGGGTTTGGAACACCGCGGAGTGCGCAACTCACTCGACCTCGTCAGTCTATATAAATAAAAGTAGCCAGTTAGGCCCCAGTGTTTGAAAGTGTGAATGAATACAATTGATATGATAGGATAAGATATTTTATGATACAATTGCATAAAAAAATAGAAAAACAAATATTAAAAACAAATTATGTTTTGGAGGTGATTTTAGCCGAAGAAGAAGTGATCTAAGTCACTGAGGAAGTAACTTATGTTGATTCAGTTTTGTGTTTGCAAATATCATATTGTGTGTACTTTGTTGCAGTGTTTGTTTTTTTGCAAAGAGGCAATAAGAAAGATTTCTATTTGATGATACTTGTGTCACAGTATGCATGCCTTACATGGAGTTACAGGCTATTCCATTAGAAAGTACAAGAATTGGGCCGACTAATTCTCTGATTTTGTGTCAGTTTCAGCATCATCAGTTAATTCTATTACTGAGTTGTAATTGGAAAATATGAATGATTTAAATTATTATATGATACCAGTTGGGGACAAAATAGAAAAAAATAAAGTATAAAATACTAAAACATACATTGCATAGAAAAGACATTGGTTCTCTCATGGATGCGTTTTTACATAATTAAGTATTTCCTTTGAATAATTTTCAAGGGGACAATGCACACTTGTTAACTGGCTTTGTATACTGAATACAAAATTGAACGTTGACTTGCTTTGTACAAAATTGACTGACATCTTCTACCCTTGAATTTTGTGTGATGGTGGTTTGGCTAAATAATTATTATCTATTTTTTTAATAACTTATTTTTATGTAAATAAATTATTATATGTAAAGTCATAATTAAATCCTTCCTTATGATTATAAATATATCTGTTTGTATACAGCCGCTATTATAATTTCTGCTTTCACTTTCACTTTCAGATGAAAACTGTGAGTGTAGCGCTTGTTCTCTGTTTGAATGTTGGTGTTGATCCCCCTGATATTGTTAAAACCACACCTTGTGCAAGGCTGGAATGTTGGATCGGTGAGTGGCTGTTTTACTACCACTTCATTTGTAATTTGTGTGCTGTTAGTCTATAACACACTGTCATATCGTTTCATTTTCTTTTTCTTTATTACAGGTATACGTTTATTTATTCTGGGTGAATCAGAGTTTTTCCCTGAAAACTGCCTTGGTGTATTGCCTAATTTGTCTAACAATATAACATATTAATCACTTCTATTGTATTCATTGTTACAATACAATGTCTCTATTGTTTATCCAACCTTAATGCCCTGAGAGAAATCTGGTGTCTTCTATGATGTTAGTTTGTCACAAGGCCTGCCCTGGTTGTCACCAGAATAGCAATTAACTTTCCATTAAGCCATATCAGTGTTCTCCCCAGGCCTTTCAAGCACTGCGGGCCCGCGTCGCCTAGACAAACAGCCGCGTCGCTTTTGTTTCGCCCACGATCCTTGAAATCGTGCCCGCGATGCTTATTCACATTGTATTGTTTACAAGTGTCAGCCTCGTCTAGCACATCTTTAAAACAGTAACATGTATTGATCGAAAGGTAATCCCGCTTTTGTACATAGTTAGC